ATCTTCAAGACTGAAGAGGAAAGGGAGAGGAGGGGTTATAAAAGAGAGAGAGGGGAGAGGCAACGCGGTATCACGGAGGAGGTGATCTCAGACGAACCGAAGCGAAGGCAGGTCCTCCATAAAGGCGGACCATAGGCAGGATGGCCGGTATAAGAGAGGAGACGGAGGATGTGGGAAGCGAAGAGACTGTCAGCAGGAGAAAAGCCGCTGTTCAAGTTGAAATTAGGCAGTAGCTTTATTAAGGAGGATTCTACCAGTCTGCTGTCGTGGACATCAGCGGAAGGAAAGACAGTTTGCGCCACTGACCAGTCCATCTGATGGTCTGTGTCCCACTAATGGCAAAATAGGGCGTTGTTGTTGTGTACTTTTGTTGAATCAGACTCTTAGTCTGAGCTTCTTCCTTCCATCTCTCTCTCTCTCTCTCTCTCTCTCTCTCTCTCTCTCTCTCTCTCTCTCTCTCTCTCTCTCTCTCTCTCTCTCTCTCTCTCTCTCTCTCTCTCTCTCTCTCTCTCTCTCTCTCTCTCTCTCTCTCTCTCTCTCTCTCTCTCTCTCTCTCTCTCTCTCTCTCTCTCTCTCTCTCTCTCTCTCTCTCTCTCTCTCTCTCTCTCTCTCTCTCTCTCTCTCTCTCTCTCTCTCTCTCTCTCTCTCTCTCTCTCTCTCTCTCTCTCTCTCTCTCTCTCTCTCTCTCTCTCTCTCTCTCTCTCTCTCTCTCTCTCTCTCTCTCTCTCTCTCTCTCTCTCTCTCTCTCTCTCTCTCTCTCTCTCTCTCTCTCTCTCTCTCTCTCTCTCTCTCTCTCTCTCTCTCTCTCTCTCTCTCTCTCTCTCTCTCTCTCTCTCTCTCTCTCTCTCTCTCTCTCTCTCTCTCTCTCTCTCTCTCTCTCTCTCTCTCTCTCTCTCTCTCTCTCTCTCTCTCTCTCTCTCTCTCTCTCTCTCTCTCTCTCTCTCTCTCTCTCTCTCTCTCTCTCTCTCTCTCTCTCTCTCTCTCTCTCTCTCTCTCTCTCTCTCTCTCTCTCTCTCTCTCTCTCTCTCTCTCTCTCTCTCTCTCTCTCTCTCTCTCTCTCTCTCTCTCTCTCTCTCTCTCTCTCTCTCTCTCTCTCTCTCTCTCTCTCTCTCTCTCTCTCTCTCTCTCTCTCTCTCTCTCTCTCTCTCTCTCTCTCTCTCTCTCTCTCTCTCTCTCTCTCTCTCTCTCTCTCTCTCTCTCTCTCTCTCTCTCTCTCTCTCTCTCTCTCTCTCTCTCTCTCTCTCTCTCTCTCTCTCTCTCTCTCTCTCTCTCTCTCTCTCTCTCTCTCTCTCTCTCTCTCTCTCTCTCTCTCTCTCTCTCTCTCTCTCTCTCTCTCTCTCTCTCTCTCTCTCTCTCTCTCTCTCTCTCTCTCTCTCTCTCTCTCTCTCTCTCTCTCTCTCTCTCTCTCTCTCTCTCTCTCTCTCTCTCTCTCTCTCTCTCTCTCTCTCTCTCTCTCTCTCTCTCTCTCTCTCTCTCTCTCTCTCTCTCTCTCTCTCTCTCTCTCTCTCTCTCTCTCTCTCTCTCTCTCTCTCTCTCTCTCTCTCTCTCTCTCTCTCTCTCTCTCTCTCTCTCTCTCTCTCTCTCTCTCTCTCTCTCTCTCTCTCTCTCTCTCTCTCTCTCTCTCTCTCTCTCTCTCTCTCTCTCTCTCTCTCTCTCTCTCTCTCTCTCTCTCTCTCTCTCTCTCTCTCTCTCTCTCTCTCTCTCTCTCTCTCTCTCTCTCTCTCTCTCTCTCTCTCTCTCTCTCTCTCTCTCTCTCTCTCTCTCTCTCTCTCTCTCTCTCTCTCTCTCTCTCTCTCTCTCTCTCTCTCTCTCTCTCTCTCTCTCTCTCTCTCTCTCTCTCTCTCTCTCTCTCTCTCTCTCTCTCTCTCTCTCTCTCTCTCTCTCTCTCTCTCTCTCTCTCTCTCTCTCTCTCTCTCTCTCTCTCTCTCTCTCTCTCTCTCTCTCTCTCTCTCTCTCTCTCTCTCTCTCTCTCTCTCTCTCTCTCTCTCTCTCTCTCTCTCTCTCTCTCTCTCTCTCTCTCTCTCTCTCTCTCTCTCTCTCTCTCTCTCTCTCTCTCTCTCTCTCTCTCTCTCTCTCTCTCTCTCTCTCTCTCTCTCTCTCTCTCTCTCTCTCTCTCTCTCTCTCTCTCTCTCTCTCTCTCTCTCTCTCTCTCTCTCTCTCTCTCTCTCTCTCTCTCTCTCTCTCTCTCTCTCTCTCTCTCTCTCTCTCTCTCTCTCTCTCTCTCTCTCTCTCTCTCTCTCTCTCTCTCTCTCTCTCTCTCTCTCTCTCTCTCTCTCTCTCTCTCTCTCTCTCTCTCTCTCTCTCTCTCTCTCTCTCTCTCTCTCTCTCTCTCTCTCTCTCTCTCTCTCTCTCTCTCTCTCTCTCTCTCTCTCTCTCTCTCTCTCTCTCTCTCTCTGTTGTTGTGTACTTTTGTTGAATCAGACTCTTAGTCTGAGCTTCTTCCTTCCATTTCCCTTCGTCCGACGGTTTGGTTGAGGTATGTTGACGACGTCTTCGCTCT